AACTTTATGGTCTGCACTGTAATTACATAATTTACTTGACCCTTACATTATTGCAATAAAAGTTTTATAATGTGCCCAAATAACACACAAAAATATTAACATGCTTGAATATCTGGATCTTGCTCTCATTCATCTTTAGTGTACACTCATTATCTGCAAGTATTTTTTATATTTAATACCTGTGTTTTCTGAATTACTTTTCTTTCCAAATTAAAATTTTTTAATTTATAGACATAAGTGCTCCAGTGGCCTAAGTAGTTAGAGCATCCATCTCAGATGTAATTGGTCATGGAGCCCTGACCAAGGCATACCAAATACTTATAAAAATAGTTCTTGCAGCTGCCTTGCTTGACTCTCAGCATTAAAAAGTTAGTGTTAGGACTGGTCAGCCTGGTGTCAGAATAATGTGACTTGGTGGGACATGATGCTACATGTCTACAGCATGCTGCCTTAGTGCTAGACATAAACTGTCACACTGCAGACATGGTTGTGATATGACTGGAAAAGCTGTTTAAAAACAAATCCAAATCCAATCCAATTATATACATATATGCACAGACAAAAGAGAGCAATAATCCCAAAAATTAAGGTCCATAGAATGAACATATTGAATTTTTTTTAAAAAAAAATTATATAATATCAAATAATAAGTCTTAAAGTCGTTTCTTAGTCCTTGTTTTGAGTGTTCATCATGTTCATTAAGTTTATAAATTTTAATTACAATTATGTTGTAATGTCATTTTTATTATAATTAATGCATCTCTGTCATCTAGTTGATTATATTATCATCTTGATATGACCTTTGTGCTAGGGATTCTTTTCTCTTGTTCATTTAACTAGATTCTGCAGTAGCTTACTTGACATTGTCAGAAATGTTTACTGTGTTCATTGTCACAAAGAAATATTAAATTGACAGTTCCATCTCTTCATGTGCTGTGTTCACTGTCTGAAAGAGATATTAACTCGAGTGTTTTATCTCACCATGCATCATGTGCACAGTCTTGAACAGATATTAAATTGACATGTCTCCATGACTGATGTTTGCACTGTCTCAGAGAATGTTAAATTGACAGTTCCATATCTCCATGTGCAGTGTGGACTGTCTCACTGAATGACAATTGACAGTTCCATGTTACATAAACATCCTTTGCAAATATATCTTATCCAAAATTTAATGTTTTGTCATATATCAAGTAATATTTGTCATAACTGAACAATTAGGACTGCCATTGTTTTTTAAAAAATAGGTCCATTCTATAAAGTTAAAATTTCCTGGCACATGTACCTACTTTTTATTATATTTGTTTTATATCCACAGTAGTTTATTCATCTTGAGGGCCTCAAAGGAGACTATTATATTTGAACAGTTAACCTCATAAAATAAAGTTTATTTTTTCTATTATTATTTTTATCTAGTTCTTTCGAAAAAGATAATCAATGTATCTGTTCTTATGTCAAAACCAGTTTTGACATTTATATGCCTTTTAAATTACTACCATTGTCCACCTGTCTGCTGGTATGTTTTGCATATAGGTCAGTTTTCCGTCACTGTGCTGGGACATTTGTTTTCTATGATCTAATTCTAGTTATTATTTCTGTTGATAACATTGTATTAAGTATATATATTTAACTATTTTAGGCTCAGGACCGAGCTGGTGTAAAGAATTCAGAACCAGAAACTTTCAATGGTAAGTTGCAGTTATTACTGTATTGAATCTGCTTTGGAACTCTATTTTCTATTAATGTAAAAGACATTTTTTTGCATGGAAAATATTATCTTTCAGTCAGAGGATTTAGATAGCTTGAATGAGGAGTATAAGGTAAGTGGTGCATTTTCATCAACTGATATCGTGTCACTGACATTCAATTTCTCTCTGCCTCCATTCCATTGTTTAATTCTTTTTGTTCTTTTGAGAAAATAAGAAACTCATTAGAATCACCAAGATTTTTCAGAGACATATATAGATTGTAACGAGCTTCTTCACAATCTGTTCTCTAAACTTAGCAGCACTCACTCACATTGTTTTCCAAATGGAGCCTCATGGGTTTTTCAGTAGGTTCAATTTACCCCCGTTTTTGAACACATGGCTTTCCCTTCACTAAAGCTTTTATCTCATAAGACTGATAGCTCTAGCTTCATTGAGCAGTGAATGATACATTGTTATCCCATATTACAGTAAGTTTTGGTCTGACAGCCTAGTCTTACTGATGATGCGAACCAGGTTTCATCTCTAAGAACAGGTTGCCATCAACTGGCAATAAAAAAAAATTAAATACCCACAATCTTTGCTTGGCCTATTGAGAGAGGCAAAGCTGATAAAACATCACCCCACAACCAGTGACTTAAGTGTGTAATTAGATTGGCATGTTTGGATCTCTGGAGATTGGGTACATCTAATGAAGATCTTTTCTTGTGAAAAATGAGCAATTTTCAGTGAGTCTTCCATTTCAATGTAACATTTTAATTTGAAAATAGTAGCCATCTGAAAGCCATGCTCAGTCTGTTTTCATTAGCTTCTATTTGTGGGAGAGGTGAGACTTGAATTTAGCTGCCCATACAGTTATTATAACCTGCCCATGATGTTATAGCATTTGCTGGATTCACCCAACATATTTTTGTAGATAAGGCAATCTCAAGTGTGAGATAACCCACACAATTATAAACACTCATTGACTGAGCTACCTTAACTCTAGGAGAAAGTTTATCCTTGAGGTTGAATGTTCATGCAATTCCTGGTATTCTTCCCATTCTCCAAACATTAATGTGATCAGGTAATGTATTTGATGTAGAAAACAGTCACCCCTACCACTCTTTTCTGCAAATGTGAGCATGCTATTGTAGGTAATATAGATAGAAAGGCAATTCTTTTTCTTGCGCTTGTAGGGATGGTCAGGAGGTAGTGGCATTTAATTTCCAAATATTAATGTGATTAGGAATCTAATCTTGCAGAAAAGTTTCATTTTAGAGACTAAATGCCTCTTGTAAATTTATATTCAATCATTTATATCAATTATGTACAGCAACCATGACCTGGTATACATTACAAATATTTTGCTAGTGTCGGTCAATTTTGTTCGCTTACAATGGCCAAAAAATTTCCATAGGTTACCTTCTTACATCTAAAATATTTTTAAATTCAGAGAAAATTGTTATTATGTCAATTTCAGCACAAGATATTGAAGGCAGCAGTGAAGTTCCCTCGCAAGAATTAGAAAACTCCTCAGTACCAGATGAAATAGACATCCAGGATGAAGTTATTCATGATGCTGAGAGAGATAGTGTGTTACTGATAACACATGGCAAAAAGGATGTCAAGCTAACAAAGAAACAAATTATTTTCCGTAGATCTACTACACTTTTATTTTTCATGCTCTCTTTGGTTGCTGGAATTTTATCTGACCAGTTTCTAGCAGGACATACCAGTAATATTACCTGCATACTTGTAAATGGAACCAGTCTAAATTCAACTTTTATTTCAACAGAGCTAAAAAATTCTGAAAAATTTAATCTATCTTCTAGTGATGTTTTGTTTTTAAACATGACAAGTGTCTATGAAGACATCCACAACTGGAATACATCATTTCTCTACTGTAATGGAAAGATCGACATGGCTACCAATAATATCATCAAGCCCTGGACTCAGAGGTTTGATTTGTTCAGTGGTCTGGTGCAGCCAGTTGCAACAAAGGCACACGGGTAATTTGAACTCATAAAGTTTGTTTTGACCATTAAAACAGTGGGCCTACAGCAATTTTGGTATACCTACTCCTCATCTCAAGGTCTTTAATCAATTTGCTCCGTTGGAGGAAAATATCTTACAATCTTTCATTTTAAAATCTAGAGAGTGTATTAAATTTGCAGTGGTTCTAGCAAAACTCAGGTAAATTTTAATGCCAGCAGAAGTATGGACAGATTCTCCGATGTTCAACTACAGTACTTTAATGGTACACACTGTCAAATGAAGCTTCAGGGGAACAATATCTGAGATGCTCTACATTTTAAGATACCATACATTTATGGAGACTCACAATTGTTTTGTGTGAAGAATTTTTTAATGCTACCTAGGTTGTGGGACAGTTGGTAATTTTAATTTTGACTCTAATTTTTAGAGACATGAAACAGCAAAAGTAACAGTTTAATTTAGATACAGAAAGGCAAGTGCCAGGTATTTGTGAAAATGAAAATGACATAGACTGCCTATATCAGTTTTTGCAGTTGCTGCTTTAAGGTTATCAATCATAGTTTTACATTATTACTTTCAAAAATATGTGAGACAATCAAGATTGTTTAAATTCCATATTGTATGTAGTTATTTTTTTTGCAAGTTGATCTTGATTAATAGGCATGGTCTGTTGCAGTTGGAAATTATAGTTTGAAATTGATTCCCAATGAGAAAAACCACATTTGATGGTATAAACATTTATCAAATATTGAAAATCATTTATTTCATGTTATTTAAGTCATGTCAAAAACTCTTTCAAGTTGTTGGCCAATCAAAATTGATGCCTTGCTCATATCATAAAACTGCTGTCAAAAATATACTTGAGATGTATTTGCTTTGTCTTATAGACATATTGTGAATAAATTAAAGACAAATCTTGACTTGAAATAAACACAGAAATAATGTAACATATTTCATTATTACTCCTGATATTTGGAATTGTTTAATTCCATACTAAGTGACAAATTTTCCTCCTTGGTAAGGATTAGCATTATATATTTGTCATTGCAAGTCATTTCTTAAGTATTTATGAGTGAGTGTGGTTTGGTTTGGATTTTAATGTAGCTTTTAAAAAAATTTCAGTTATATCACTACGATGTCAGCAATGTGACAGTTTATAGTGATGTCTAGCACTGGGGCTTCATGCTGCAGACATGTAGCATGATGTCCCACCCAGTCACATTATTTCAACACCAGGCTGACCAGTCCTAACACTAACATGTTAATGCTGAGCATTTAAAGAGGCAGCTGTTTGTACCAATTAGTAAATCTTTGGTATGGCTTGGCCAGGGCTTGAACTTACGACCTCCCACATCCGAGGTGGACACTCTAACCACTAGGCCACCAGTGTGGTTATATTTATGAGTTACAGCTTCTTAATATGATGCTCCAGCATATTAAATGTTCACCTTTGCTGAAAACTAAAACAACCCATTCAGACGTCTGGGACAAATCTAAAACAACCCATTCAGATGTCAGGGACAAATCTAAAACAACCCATTCAGACGTCTGGGACAAATCTAAAACAACCCATTCAGATGTCAGGGACAAATCTAAAACAACCCATTCAGATGTCAGGGACAAATCTAAAACAACCCATTCAGATGTCAGGGACAAATCTAAAACAACCCATTCAGATGTCAGGGACAAATCTAAAACAACCCATTCAGATGTCTGGGACAAATCTAAAACAACCCATTCAGATGTCAGGGACAAATCTAAAACAACCCATTCAGATGTCAGGGACAAATCTAAAACAACCCATTCAGATGTCAGGGACAAATCTAAAACAACCCATTCAGATGTCAGGGACAAATCTAAAACAACCCATTCAGATGTCAGGGACAAATCTAAAACAACCCATTCAGATGTCAGGGACAAATCTAAAACAACCCATTCAGATGTCTGGGACAAATCTAAAACAACCCATTCAGATTTCTGGGGACAAATTTGAATTGTAATAACAGAGACATTAGTAATTATGCTCCAAAACTCAACTTGACACCTTGTCAATCATAAACATTGGTCTCTACACAGCTGGATCAGGTTGGCTAATTGTTTAGTCAGTATGAAAATGGAAGCACAAGTGGTGAATACTGCAGATTATAATAGACAACATATGAATAAAGGAAGTAACATTTCTGGAAACTCTTTTATGTCTTCATTAATCTTTGACAATCTCTCTTCAGCTTAGCAATTATGTTGAAATAGTGTAATCTTGTGCACAGTGGAATCATTATTTAATGTACGTAGAACTATTTTGTATTGTTGTATTAAGCGCAAACATAATTTTTTTTGAATAGTGGAATATTTTTCAGATAACACTTGGAAGGTCTGTGAAAATAACAGGCAAAATTTAAGAAAATTTCAGTCATCAAGACATTTTAGTTCATACATGTATATCGGTTCAAGTGGCTAACATATTTAAGTTTTGCTCTTAACAAATGTAAGCGAATTAACTATTGAATGTTATATGCAGGGACTGCAATGATTTTCCCCAGCTATCATGTTTCTTTTTAAACATTATTCAATATGGAAAACTGTGCATGGTTCCAGATTTTACCTTGCTTTGTGAGAATTTATCTCGTTATATGAAGTAACAAAGGTATGAATAGATTACATACAGTTAAACATCTTTTTTGTAACCAGCATTTCTCTGCAGGCTAACCATACATACTGCATCTGTTTGCTTGAAGGTTTAGTCCAACTGTTAATTGCACATACCCAGTTCTGCCACAATTTAAAGCACAATAAAGTACCAGCAAATCTGGGTCCATTCAGTTTGTTAGGAGTAATTAGATATCATTCCAAGGTCATTTCAAGAGGAAATTTAATTTTGTGGCTTGAATCATTTTCTGCAGTATGACTTTTGAAACAATGATTGCAGTTTGAAGAAGACTCAAGATTTTATGTGTAGATGACATATCACCATAGCCATGTCTCATGTCTCACAGTCAAGGTCACAGTGAGAGAAAAGATTGCCAATTTTTAAATCCAAGAGATATTTTGATAAAAATTTACCCAGGTTTTCCCTAGCATGCTAAGGTTATTATTAAGGAAAAGTCATGTGATGTGTATAGCAAATGCTATTTGTGCTGTAGTGCTATGAAGTCCTGAAGAGATCCTTTATACAAATATTATTCAGACTTTCTATAATTATACCTGTATGGTAATATTTGATAGGTTTTATTCATTTATTATTGCCTGTAATTTGGTGTTTATAGAAAAATTGAAGGTTTTCATGTAAAGTCTACCTGGAAACAAGTATTTAGATCACTTTTTCCATTGTACAACAATCACTTTGATGTGAGTGTCCATTCAAAAGTCTTTATATCCAAAAGTTTATGTGTTCACAGTGGTGTAGCAACTGCCCAAGCAACCCCTGCAATTGGTGCAGGGTTGCAAAATTCCCATTAAACATTGTTTTTTTTTTATTAGTACATGGGTTCCAGAAGTTTTGTGGAGGACATTTATTGCTATGCCATTGTATGGTCAGATGTTTTGCAACAATTAGCCACTGAATTGGGTTACATGTTATGTGGATATGTCTTTATGTGTACAACATTAATTTACCAAAATCTCGGGCAGATTCAACATGCTGGCCATGACAAGCATCATTTTGTATGTCTATATTTGGTATGCTTCTATTTAGTCAAGTATATTTTGTTATGGCTTTTTCCGTATGTTTTTTTAAAAAAATATTTTTGGCCTCTATTTAGTCCGGCATTTTATGTTATGGTGTATTCTGTTTTTTTTTGTTTTATATTTTTGTATGTCTCTATTCAGTCAGACAGTTTATATTATGGTGTAGTCAATATGAATTTTGTTTTAGTTTTGTATGCTTCTATTCAGAAAGGCATTTTATATGATGGCCTTGTCTGTATTTTTTTTTAATAGTTTTTTTTTATCCATTTTTGCATGCCTCTATTCAGACAGGCATATTATGCTATTGGATTGTCTATATGCATTTTGTTTTATATCTATTTTTATATACCTTTTATAAGACAGGCAAATTTATGTTATGCACTTGTCTGTATGTTCATCTTTCCATACATTCATCCAACCAATAATGTTTTCCTGCTTGACCAGAAACTTTGCAGTACTTTAAAATTATAGATCCTAATTTCCTAATTAGTTGGTGTGCTGCCATGTCCTGTGTCAGTGTCAAAGCATAGGAATACACAATTCTGTGACTTGTATCCTTGTCAGGAATGTAAATTGGAACCACTTGAAACATTTTTTGTGAAAATTTGCCTATCTATCTATCTATCTATCTATCTATCTATCTATCTATCTATCTATATATATATATATATATATATATATATATATATATATATATATATATATATATATATATATTATGACTTTGTAACATTAACGTTTCCAATGCCTAAGGATCAAGGTTAAGGGAGATATATTTCTGCAACTTGTATCCTTGTATGGAGTGTAAGTTTGAACCACCAAAAATATTGTCATGGATCTTTAACCAATTATATATAATGAGAAGACAATCGGCCATATATTCAAAGTTAAGGTCAATATAAATCTTTGATGTCTATGATTGTAAATTTATATTGTTTAGATTGTAATAAAATCATTAGCCTTTTGCATACCTTGCCTTTATGGTCTCACTATTCAGCCATACCACTTACTCCTTTGTCAAAGGCACTGCAAGAAATAATGTAAGGCATTGGCCCATATCCTTATTTTCATAGATATTCTGATGAAAGTATACCCAGGTCAACATCTTATCACGTCAGGTATTTTGGTCCTGACACTTCAGTTTTTAAATAATTTATTTGTTGCTGTTTTGTTTCATATTTTTTTTTCCATCCTGGCCAGAAAGGCCATGAGAAGTTATGGTACTGTCCTTTGTCTGTCCACAGTTGCAATTTAGATTCACAAAATCTGCTCAACAAAATGTGACATATCAACCCCACTTGTTATGGTTTATAATTCCATTATTCAGCACAGAATAAGCTATACATGACAGCCACTCTATTGGTGGAAGAAGAACCAGGGACAAGCCAGAGAAGAACCACTGACCTGTGGAGAGCTACTGGCAAACTTCCTCAGATATCTTCATTGGCTGAGCCATGGATCCATGTTGACAGAAGTGAGATTCAGCATTATTTTCATGGTCGTTGTGCAGTGGCCATATTGGATTTAAGATGGGCATACTTTTTATTTTTAAACCGGCTAGAGGTATATGAAGGTTTAACTGAAACCCCATGTTGATATGACCATACATTCAAAAGTAGTAGCAATAAGACAAAAGTAGTAGTAATAAGATTTTGAAGGTGTAGTGGGGTGGCCATATAGGATGGCAGATTGACACCATTTTCATTTAGGTGCAATTAGATAATAATAAATCTTTTATTGAAAACCCCATGTTGATATGATCATTCATATTGGAAGAGCATCATGATGAAGCATATGAAGGTTTACATACTGGATGTACCAGCAGCACCATTTTCATTTAGGATCAAGTAGACCATGGGATCAGTGTGTGTGTGTGGACAGTTTTGTAGAAATCCTAGAGGTAGGTTAGGAGGAGTAGCGAAAGCTGACTTGTGCTGATGGACAGATGGACAACAGACCATCCCATAAGTCTTTTGTTCTAAAAATAGAAGAAAAAAATACAGTGTGACACTGCTAGAACATGGTGACTGAGGTCCATAGAACCCTGCTGGGTTATAGACCAAACTGTATTAGACAAAACCATGTTATAAACAAACAAGTCAGTGAGCTGAAGAAAATGATTATGTACCTAAAGGCGCACATTATGCATCACATATCATTTGAAAGCACATATATATAAAAAGATGGTAGTCATTTATCTGTATTTAATTGTTACTAAACAATTCACTACAATATTATAACCAGCAACTTGTGGCTGTAGTTGTTTACATGCTACTTGTACTTAAAATGACCTAGATTTTGGTCACCTGGCGACTGTTTACATGCTACTTGTACTTAAAATGACCTAGATTTTGGTCACCTGGAGACTGTTTACATGCTACTTGTACTTAAAATGACCTAGATTTTGGTCACCTGGAGACTGTTTACATGCTACTTGTACTTAAAATGACCTAGATTTTGGTCACCTGGAGACTGTTTACATGCAACTTGTACTTAAAATGACCTAGATTTTGGTCACCTGGAGACTGTTTACATGCTACTTGTACTTAAAATGACCTAGATTTTGGTCACCTGGAGACTGTTTACATGCAACTTGTACTTAAAATGACCTAGATTTTGGTCACCTGGAGACTGTTTACATGCTACTTGTACTTAAAATGACCTAGATTTTGGTCACCTGGAGACTTCTATCATCATTACA